CCCCCTCACGAAAAATTATCTGTTTCTTAACCGGCGCTGTCGCTGTAGATCAAGAGAAAACGAGAGAGAGAGAGAGAGAGAGAGAGACAGAGAGCGATTTACAGTAAATTTACAGAGAGAAGGAGAGTGCGAGAAGCGGGCCGAAATCCAGGCCTCGGAGGGCGATCGCAGCTTGGAGCTCAAATCTCCTGTGTCTTGCGACTGGGCCATTAAGATTCAGGGAGTTTTCTCGCAATCAGTATCAGGGAGTGTGTGTCATCTCGGATTTTGGCTCAAAGCTGAAGGTCGAGACCGGGAAGCTGAGCATTGAGAGTCAGGTAGTAGAAGTGTCTAGAGTTAAGAGACCGCGAAGCTTTCCATGCAGATCTGACGATGCAGATGAGGGAAGGCTCTGGGGTAGAAGGGTGCCGCGGGGAGTTGTAGGTGACACGGCTCCAGCTGAGGCTCAGGTCTAAAGCTTTAGGCAGGAAAGTTCGAAATGCGGTCGAGAGCCCTTGGCCAATAGCCTGGGGTTTTCTATGGAGCAGAACCTTCCCCTCTTTTGGAGGAGACGGCTACGGACAGTGGTTCGTCCCTGAGTGTTCAGAGTCCATCGCAACGGCCACACATAGGCCACAAAACTATAATCGTAAATCTCAAAGCCTCACGTGCACCTACGTCCCACATTCAGAGCTCGGAGCCGTAGATTTCAACCTAGAACGACCTCCTGGGGCTCGGATACCTGCAGGATACTGGGTATGAGAAGCATGGTCTTTTTGTCATCGCATGGTGGGAGCATAAAAGGTCTTTCTGCGTGACTGCAAGGAAACCCGGTCCGCGGCGCTGGACCCGATCTATACTTGGGTTTCAGGTCTACGAACTTGCTGGGGAGCGTGAAGAAACTCTCATGGGTGTGTAGTCCTGCTATGGAGTTTTATTTTGTGCTTGTGTGAACCCCCCCACTACACGCCAAACTCTGACGGCTAAACCCCACCCCCGCAGCATCGAACTCAAGCTTGACCCGACTTAGCCCGACATCTTACCTCAATCCTATACCACAAAACCCTAACCCCCAGGCCTCAGGATCGAAAACCCTCCCGCCCAAAAACACTCATGGCTTTAGGCTTCTGGGGTCTACGGCTTGGGATGACAATCGCCCTGTTGCCATATAGGGAGTTGCTTTAGGCACTTTAGGCTTTGGTGTAAAGACAGGTTTCGGATTCTGGGTGTAGACTCGTATATAGGGATATAGGGTTGAGTGCTTGAAGCAGGAGTTGGATCATCAGGATTCACTTGAGGTCTGGGTCCCGCAAAGGCCCGACGGATTTCCTTGACCTTCTGGCGCTTCAAGCGCTACGTATGTACGTGGGCAGGAGACACCGGATGGGCGAGCTGCGAAAGTGGATATGCCGTGGACGCGGCCTGTATCACGAGACTGGCGTTTAGGCAAAACAAGTGTGAGTCCTATCTACCCATCCAAAGCCTGAACCTGGACTCTAAACGGGCTGTCGAATGCTCCTGTGGCCTTTCAGAGAGGATCTTCCGTCACGCTTGACACTCAAGCACTTTGGAAAGTCTCAGATTGATAGCAGTAGGCAGCAGGTAGTGGTCGAACGACGACCACCATTGAGGAGGGCGCTGTGGAGGTCAGTTCTTGTCCTGAAGTCTTGAGGCGTCCGAAAGAACATCGGGCAACTGAAAGCTTTCAGGTAGCCGCTCCAGATCTCACTTCCCGCTTTGGCACAGCAGGAATGGCCCCCGGAAAATCTCCGCAGCATGGGGATAAAACAATATGCGAGCGGGCTTGTGCAAACACGGTTTGGGGTTCAATGCCCCCGACAACGTCACAGCTTTGCATTGCTGCCAGCCATCGAACACGTGAAAGGGGTTACAGTATGCCGATTGTGCCTGAAACCTGCAGTATCTGAATCTTCACACCTCTCCCGGCAAATGGTTTGCGTTTAGCCTGTGTAAAATGCGCGAGCTAGTCAAATTCAGGTCTTCAAACCATCAGCGCAATGCACAAGCCCTGAACTTTATCATCATCCTCATCCCCAAACCAGCGCCATCGCGGAAGGTGCAAACGGCTAAGATAAAGAATGCTGGGTGTGCAGGTCCCTACCGTGACCTACTAGAACCATTTCTGCAACCACCATACGAAAAGGCTTTTCACATAAATGGTAGTCCAAATGCCTTGGCATGTCTGTGCACAGGCCCGCTCACCTGAGCTCCAGTCGGCGCAGCTCCAAATGTTTTGCGTAGCCAAATGAAGCCCTCTAGCACCCTGTGAGACGACACCAATAGCTTTAGGGTTCAGACGAGTTCAGACTCCTTACGCTGCAAAACTTCGAACACACCCTAAGTCTTCTTATTGCAGCCATGGTCAGGACCGTGCACTTTCTGTTGTGCAAAGCTAGGGATGTGGCTCATTTGAAGGCTGACCTCCTGTTGATGTGGAGGCCGACACAAGTCGAACTGTTCTAGGTTTGCAATCAAACTCGTCTCGGCTACAAATTGTGGCAGGAATCCTAGGTACATCTTCGGCCTAGGTCACCAGATTCTGAGCTTGTAACCCTGTAGCACTTGTCTCCGATCGAGCACTTTAGTCTTGATCCTCACTTCTGAACCGTTGGGCAGCACTCTCGCCGACAGCTGCTTCTTCCCTTCCCTGCTGACCCACCCAAGTGGTGGCTGGGGGGAACTGTGCCATCAAGGCACATGGAGTGTGCTGGCTTGGGGTACAGCGTACTGCATGGATCCGATCTGACTGAAAGCAACCCTCAAGCGGGTCAGCAGGAACAGCCCATGCTTTCAGGGACGAAGTCATCCAGATCCAGCCAATCCTTTGCTTCGAGCTTCGGGATCAAGTTTGGGCCTGGGTGCGTGAGCCCTGGAACACGCAAGCAGAGTTGCAGGATTCCGGGTTGATGGGGTTTAGGACGTTGGAGAGTTTGCGGGCTGCAGGGCTTCCAGCTCAAGCTCCAAAGCCTGAAAGCCTGAACCAGTGTCAAGTGACGCTGTCTGATTCCTCTACGTCGAGCTTGTTCTTCTGGAGAACCTGCCAAGCCCAGCGCCATCGTCACGAAAATCGAACAGCCTCCCTCCTCTGTGGCTGGGCTTGCTAAACCCCGAAACCGAGAAACCGATTCGTCAAACGTCTCTTCATCTCCCTTCCGCGGCCCTGGACCAAGGCTTACTTCGATCACGAGCTGTGCCTTTTGCGTATCCGTGCTTTGTCACTTGTATCATAGAGCTGGAGCGCAGAGGTTCCGGGAATTGAGCTTCAGGTTCTTGCGTTGTCTGTGCCTCCGGCTTTCAAACAACTCCTGCTGCCCGTGAGCTCTGTGTCCTTTCAAATTTGTCCAGGGTGATCGGCTAGGTTTCCCCAAGGGCAAAAACTAACACCCTGAGTCGATTCCATGGGCCTGCAGCTTCTTGTAGAGCTTCACCACGGTGCTGTCTGGGTTTACGGCGTGGTAGAACTCACCGTCTACCTGGCTGGGAGCGGGGCCCAGAAGTCCAGGCATGGTGTAGGGTGGAGAGTTGGATCCTCGAGCCACGTGCTCAAACACCAGATCCCAGAACCCGCCAAGTACCCTAAGCCTGTGGCCCCAAGTCCTAGACTCCACGTCTAGGACGCCGACATCTTATGCTCCAAGGCTTCATTTTAAGAGTGTAGGCTCAGTAGTCATTGGTATAGTCGCTCGTCTTGAAAGACCCCTATATAGTCCACTTCCAAATATTCAAGTCGGTCGGGAATAAGCCCCTCTATTTGGGACTGTCGGGAACAGACCTGCAGGATTCTCGTATTTTCTCTCTCCTCGAACTGTGGGGCATGGGGAAATAGAGTTTAAGTGTCGAGGTTCAGGTCTTGAGGCTTAGAGTCTAGCGTTTAGCGCCGCAGGGCAGCCTCAAGCAAACGGCTGCACAGGAGTCTTTGCTGCGTCTTAGCTTCCGAATGGCAGATGCGTGCTCGGGGCCGTTTCTAAAAGAATCACAAGGCATCTTTGACGGACCGAGCCTGTAGAGCAAGACTTCTGGGCTCAAGCTTGGGATACGAGGACTAGCTAGACAGCTCGCACATCGGGCATAGACTACCACGGTTTGGTGCTCAAGATGTAAGTTTGCTTCGTGATGATGGTGATGATGGGGACCCACAAACACTCCAAAACCGCGGGCCTCAAAATAGATGTTCATGCCATCGTCGTTCTTGAAATACCTGCTGCGCACGACGCAGATGTTGATGCCCGGCAGTATGGCACCACACATGCATCAAAGAACGACATCCTGGAACCCTTAGCCCTTAGCTACATGCCAGAAATTCCCTGTGTCATCCTTTGGTCTTCAAAAAGCCCCGTGCCCTCATGGCCTAGATCCTACACTTTCAACCTCGGCTGCCCCAGGCCCTACATCCTAAAGCCTGGCCTGCACAATCACAACCTACAATGCCAAGGGCCCGGAAAGCAGCCAACAAAAATTAGGCCATCCATGGGAGAAGCGCATCAAAAAAGTTCGAGGCCCAGGCTCAAGGAAGTAGGATTCACCTTGGCAAACTCTTCTCGCCTCGCGTTTTGAAGGGGGTTTGGAGATTTCGGTTTCAAGGCCTCGGGGTCAGGCTTTCTGGTTTACAGCGCATTTGGCTGACGGCAGGGTTTGAGGGGTTTCGAAACCTGAGGATACAAATCTTGTAGTCCCACTAACAAAGTTTCTGCGTGGATTTGAGCAATTTCAGCTTCAGGCCTGTTCGCTGCACAAGGTACCGAGGCATTGCCGCGATCCTAAATCGCCCAGGGTGATTCCAAAACAGCCCCCAACTCTGACGCCGCAAAACCCTCCAACATCAGCCCTGCATGCGCCGGGCCGTGAGTCTCACTGGAAATGTGCCATGCCAGCCCGTGAGCCTTGACCCTCTGAGCCTAGGCCTACAGTAATCATTAGAGTGGTCATCGTAATAAGCTCACTAAAGCTACACCCCTCCGCTCGAATGAAAACACGAGAGCCAAACAGCTGCCATCAGGGTTCGCCTGCGATCCCTTTGTCTGACTGGCCCAAGGCCCCTTAACAATCATCGACAACAATGTGCATCCCGAAATCAGCCCGAGGTCGAGTGATCCAGTCAGATGATGATGAGGACGATCATCATCTGTTTCCTGAACCTTGCAACTACCATGCCTGGTGGACCAGGTTGTCCAAGGCGATGTTTGCGATGAGTGGCCTGGGCCCGGATCGACGTGATGCCATCCGACGACGGATTTCGCTGCTGCGTTCTGGGCGTGCTAAATTCCTCTGTAAGAGTGATTTGACCCGACGCACCTTGAATCTGAACAGTGTCAGATTCAATATCCACAGCCAGAGACACAATCTGAGCACAGCTCTACGGTATTCGCACGAGAGTAGTGCCCGCCTTTAGAATGATAATGCCGATTGGCAAACACAAGCCAGGGCTTCGAAAGACTTGGAAGATTGCACCTAATACACTTCTGGACTACTGCACCTCGCCATGGCAAATGGTTCACTGTTGGTTTTTGGTTGGTTTGGTAGTTTTTGTGATGTTTGCTGTCGGCGGGCGGCGGTGGCGGCAGCAGCATCGGTTCTGCCCGAGCACTCCAGCTAGAAATAGTCATTCGTCGAGTCATACGAAGTGTCGTGAAATGCCCGAAGCAGGTGTCTCGCGAGCGCTTTCCCAAAACCCGGAAAGTTGAACGACTTGGGGGTTTTGGATTCGAGGGGCATGGCAGTTGAAGCTCTACAAAGCTTGGGCCTAGCAGGGCACACCCCTAAACGAGCCGAAGCCCCGTTCATGGAGCCGTGCTGCTGTTGAGTTGGGGTTTGGTGGAGGGATCGCGGAGTCTTGAGCTCAGCGTTGGGGCACGTGGGATAGCACTGCTTCCGAACATCGGCCAACAATCAGACCAGATAGAGCCACGGCAACAGCACAAGTTTTTTTCCGATGGATCCTTCGGTAAAGATTATGTAAGCCCACGGCAGTGTCACCACTTCAAGCTTTCCATCGCCAGGGTCCTGTGGTGACAATCTAGACTGCCCTGCACGGTTTTAAGGTACTCAAATTCTCGCACTATCAAGAGCAAGGTTGCCTTGATAGCTCTGCTTATACCCGAAACCACCATGAATCCAAGACCTGAATCCCTACACCCATAGCACGAGAGCCTCTTCCAAGAATGTCCTTAACCTCTCTCCCACCCAAACCCGAAAGCAGTCACCTTTATGTAATGCATGTGAAGCCTGTAGATAAACCCGAGTCTCGCACAAAAAAAAAAAGATGTACGCCAGAGCTTCCTCCACTGTTAATCCTGAATGACTCTGTGCCCTCCACTACGAGGCTTGATGAAACATGTTCGGAAGCTGGACAGAACTTCTGAAACCGGGCAAGCCTTTGACAAGCCTTACACACCAAGAGGGGTCCTGCTCCTCACTCAGCGTCCCGGATGGAGGGGGTGGGTCCACGCCTACATCACACTCCTGGCGAGTCGTTATGTTGGGTGCACTCAGGGGGCTTCAGACCTTGCTAGGGCTTGGATTGTTTTGAGGCTCTTGTCACCGCACGTCGTGTCCCAAGCTCCTTGCACCACAAAGTTTGGAAAAGCTTCGGTGCTCGGTAGACATTAAAGACTTATATAATGCCTGAAGCTTCTTCATGTGAGCTTGCTGCAAGTCGGGCCCCTTCCGAGACACTGATTTCGCAGAACCCCCACGTCGCAACCACAAGGGTTTTGTAGCCCTTTCAGCGAACCTGAGAGGACCTTTGGACCTTGGGCTCGGCTCAAGACTTTAGTCAACTTTGGGCCACACTGTGATATAATGTTGCGAGGGTTTTGCCGCTCTTGTGAGGCGCAATCGGAAGCATTGTCTGGCTCAAGAACAGACCTGTCAATCTATCCTCATCCGCTGTGCTTCTAGGGTGCGCTGGCGCTAGTTGAAGACATAGGCGGTGGGCATAGCGACAACAAAGCAATGATTGTTACATCACCTGGCTAATTTGTCCCTTGATCGTGACGGCCGTACTGCTAGGGCTCGAAAGGTCAGACACAAGCTTCAGAGCGCATTTGTGGCTCAGCATCTACAACATCACCGCTGACTTCTTGTATCTTCCCAGAAGCAAAAGTTCCCTGAAGACAGAAATACAGCCCATCCCCTTCTTCGCCGCACTGCGCAAGATTTTCAGGTATTGTGCTGCCGACTCAGCAAAGTCACCTTCATCCTTGCGCCACCCAAACAACTGACCTGTCCGACCTTCCACTTCGCTGAGAAACGTTTACCACAACGAACAGAAGCAACAGCAGCGTCAATTTCATAAAGCAAACCGGCATCTATTGCAATCTGTGCCGGTGTCACGCTCTGCCATAGATGTGCCTGGTCGTGTCTGAGGCCCGAGGCCTAAGCCTCAAACCTGCCCTTCAAAGTTTGGGGTGGGGGAAGACCCTGTGATGTCGCTTTCTATGCAGCTTCTGATTGAAGGGCACTGTCACAGCCATGGAGTGCAGTGCAGCACCACGGGTGTAGAACATGATCTTTCCGTTCCATCCCTTGTCTGAACACGACAGAACTGACAGCTTGAAGTTGGAGGCTAAGGAAGTTTGGTGCAGACTTTGAGAGACCTGCGTGCAGGAGTACAGAACTCTGCCTGGTAGCACCAGGTAGTAAATGGGGCGGGGAGCCTTGAGATTTGCTTCGAGGCTTCTGCTGTCTCCTGACCTCACGAGGTATCATCTTTGCACTGTAGTCCTGGTTGTTCTTAATATGATTCGCAGCAAGTAGTAGTATTCTTGCTACCATTAACATCATGTTGTGTACTAGGTGCAAAGCCGGACGCCATGCACGAAACCCGATCGAAATTCTAAGTTCATCCGCGGCCCAACCCCTCTGGTAGCTGGTTAAACCCTGACCCTGACCATGCGCCCCACCCCCCCTAACCCACACCCCCCAAAGATCTGTGATCTGAGTGGACGATTCCAAACAGAAACCTTCTGAAATCTACTGTACGAGGTCTGGGGCTGAAGATCTAAGGGCTGCTGGCAAGGACTCATGCGTTCGGATGTTCGTTTGGCCAATATTGAGGCTGATCGCAGCCATGTTGACTGTCGTCATTCTAAGTCTAACGTATTGGAACGACCAACATAACTGATGCATTTGCATTACATGCCAAAAGCGGCATAGGGTCGTATTTTCCTGATCCGTTCACTAAACAGTCCTCTTGCCCCAAACCCCTGACTCGAAATCAACGCTCCAAGAAACTTAGGCCTTGCCCCCTGCGTAGGAGGAGATGTTGAGAAACATCAGGCTCTCCGGGTTTCCGATGAGCTGAGGCCTCGAAGAGCTAGGGTGCAGGACGCTGCACGATGATGATGATAATGAAGAAGATGATGATGACGATGCTGACGGTGATGACGGTGATGATGATGATGATGATGGTGAAGATGGTGATGGTCATGGTAATGGTGATGGTGATGATGATGGTAGTGATGACGACGACGACGACGATGATGATGGTGATGGGAATGTTGGTGATGATGTCGTTGATGCTGTCAACGAATCATGTAGCGATCATCAACAATGGCCCCCCACACAACCAGCAACATCTGCGTCGAAGTGTCAAAGCGTCACGATCATCCCGAACAACATCAGCAGCATCAGCTTCGCCAATGACGCCATCAACATCCGTGTCAACATCGGCCATCGCTATCAACATCATCACCGAGCCCTAAGCATCAAGTCCCTGAACCATCTACACCCCGCAGTCCTTGAGTTTTACCTACACCCAAAACCAAATGCGAGACCCTCTGAGCTGTCGGGCTCTCCAGCATCGCCCTCGCTGTCGAGGATGAGGTTACTAGGCCACAGGCAGATTTCCCAAAACGGAGACGAAGACCGCAGGAAGTCGGGGTTGCAAAGGCACAAGCGGCAAGTGTTCGATGGTTTGTGGATTACTTCGCTCAGTGTTTTTACGTTTAAATGCTGGTCACTGACGTGCCGGGGATAAACTCGAAGGTAGTTTCCAGCGCGCTGGAGCCACAACCTTCCAGGTCTCTAGGTTCCGCAGGCAAAAGTTCGGGGCTTGCCCCGAAACCTTGGCCTCTGGAGTCAAGAGAATCGTGGCTTCCGGTGGCTTGAATCACCGAGCCCCAAACCTCCAGAGATCTTTCACCCTGTCCCCATCGACGTGCTTAGGTTCGCACTCAGGGTTTTTGGTCGTTCCCGTGTACAGGTTGGCCACGATGTTGCCGACGTGCTGGACGCCCCAACACCTGCAGAGCCCGAGCCAAGGCATTGCAGCCGACTTTCCCAAGACCAAACTGCCCAACTGCTTAGTTTGGAGCTGAAGCCTGAGCCTTGCATCGGGGGGAATCGGATTTTTCACTAGTGAGTGGAATCACCCCTTCTGAATGGTGCCGGTCCAGAAGCCGGCGCCAAATCGACCTTCGGCCAAACCTTCAAACTCCTAATCGCTGAACCATCCTGAACCCTCTCCGTCCTAAGCCCTAACGGCTTGAAACCTTCACTTCATAGGCGCGCATAGGCCTCAATACTTAGATGGGACTTTTAAGGTTTCCATGTAGTACAAGCATTGACGGACCGGCTACGAAGCAAGAATGCTGCTCTTGTACTGGATCATAAGACAACTACTGATGATGTTCTTATGGCACCGATCCGACCTCATCTCCTGCACGAAACCGGCAGCACCTGGGTCGGGAAAGGGGTTCAGGGCGCGAAGTCCAGGTTTTAGTGACGGTAAGGACTCACAAGCACCCCGAACCAGGAACTGACGAACAACATCTGCCGGGGCTGTCTTCGTGGTTTCGGCTGTGGGAAGGGGGGTCAGGGATTCACTTCTTTCGGTGCTTTCGGTTTAGGCAAGGAAGCCCTTAGCTCGTAATCCTGAAACCGGCATCCTGCTCAGCCAAGATGCCATAAACGAAGAGGTTGCATGTCTGGCTCTTCGTGCGGTGCTTGTCAAAGTGCATGCCAACCTGTGATTGGAAAGGAGCCATGAAGGCTTTCTGCATCGCTGCGCTTTTGGGTGCTGCAGTGCAAAGCACTGCATGGAAGCCTACAGTAGATGCCTTAAGTGCTCTGATTTAGTATCGGGGTTGGGGGTAGTTCTAAGTTTGAATGTTTTCTGATTTTCGAACTTCTGCAGACTGCGGTGCAGACTACTCCTCCACTATAGCTTGAGCACTTCCGAAGCTGCCGTCCCACCGTCTGGAACTTGCCATACTGTCCACCCTGCTAGGTTTCAATAATCGAGCAACGGTCGAGTTTCGGGTGTGATTTTATGGACGTTCCAGGCAGAATGGGCGCGAAGAGCCCTGGTTCCAATATTTAGTTTATGCTCATTACCTCCGTGCTTACTCTCTCTTCCTCGCCCTATTTACTGGCTTACTACCTACCTGCCTACCAACTACCCACCTAGCTACCGAGCTACCCAGCTACCTAGCTACGTGTTTTACCTGGCTACCTAGCTACCTACCTACCTGTAGGTAGGTACCTACCTACCTAGCCTACCTACCTACCTACGTGCCTACCTGCCTACCTGCCTACCTGCCTACCTGCCTGCCTGCCTACCTACCGATCTACCTACCTACCTGCCTACCTACCTACCTCTCCCTGCCTCCCTCCCCCCTCCCGGCATGCCTGCATGTATGCCTGCATGTAT